GGGTGAACAGAAGAGTGATTCACAGATATAAAAGAGGCAGACGAACACAATGGTAAAGAAATAGGTAAGGTGGGTGCTGTGAAAGTGGTGGAATATGATATACAGTCCAGCCATGGTAGCTTGAAGGGAGAAGTCAATTGCTGGATTATAGACTTTTTGCCGTATGAGTATACGTTGGCCATGGTGAACCACGAGGAGGCAAGTCTATCTCACATCCCATATCTAGATATAGACTTATGTAGATGGGCAATTTGTAATAGACATTCGGAAATACGCAGAGAAGCTCCAGACAAATATGTCTTAATATGATCACATTTAGGCTATTTTTTCTATTATTATTGTTGTTTGGGAGGGCCTAATTATGTCTCGATAACAGTACGCAAGGTAATGGTCATTCTCGGCCGGATTTGAGGATATTGCTACAACAATCTCATTATATATTGACTTTTGTCCTTTTATGGCACTGTGATCTGGAGGAGTTGAAAGAACAAGAGCGACCCTGCCTATCGGCATAGATGATGTAAACATAAGTTCTCAAAACACCAGTCAAATCTTGAAGGCTTCGCAAAGATATGGCCTTTGTTATCGAACCTTGGTCTTAGACATTTCGGAATTTCCTTCTTGTCATGATCCTCTGTGGTGGTGGGACACCGTTAGTCCCAAATAAATCCACTTACAAAATCAGAGATCTTTGTGATTGTCTTAATCAGGCAATCGTCTTTCCTAGAACTCAACGGTAACACGCAATTACCTTAATGGTGAGCTTTTACTGCAAAATTGTGCAAGGTAGCGAAAGTGCAATTTAGCAAACTTTAACGAATATAATACCATTATTTTGAATAATTGACAAAAAAATGGTTAAACTAGCATTTTAGGACGGACACCAATGCGAAAGTAGGTTGATTGTTCACGAAGTTTAGAAATTCATGGTGAGTTAACTGAAAGTATGCTCTTATATTGACTGGTGAATGGTGGGAATTTCTTCAATGGTTTGGCTAATTAATCTACTCTTTGCAGTTTTTAACTCTAATTTTACTCTTTTAGATTTAAACCACTTGATTTAGAGTTTTAAATTTCTAGAGAGATTGTCGAGCCCACACTGTCATCGACATGCTAGTTTTGTCTTTGTTTTTCTGTTTGGAATTAATCAATAGAGGACTTGAGTCAAACGTTTCAAATAAAATCTTATGAGATCACCCTTATGCGCTTTTTGATATACAATATTCAGTAGAAAACCCTCCAGTGCCGAATGAGACAAGAGAGTCTTTTCACACACACACACATGGTTATCTTTATCAAATCCTTCAGGATTTTTTAAGATCGTCTTTACCAAACCAAGAATATCCACGTATTTTCAATTTAGAGTGTTTTCAAAGCAACGTTAAGATGGAAATTCTTCAAACCAATCGAGAAGAAAGTTATGAGAACGGTAAAACGAAATGCGGTTAATGCATGTTTGTTTCGGGTCAAGTCATCTATCACCCTTTTCGATAGGTGAGCGCCTATTCCAAACATTGGGATAAATTGAGTATGGGTTGGGTAGTGTCTTAATCCCCAAGTCACAAGAGCATGAAGACAACTTGAATTCCTGTCAAAGTGTCTTTGAGTATTTGCCAACTCTCTTAAACTTCTCCATCTAATCAGAATCAATAATAGTCCATGGACAACTATTGGGCATAGAGTTCCAGACCTCTAGCAGTACAGCACTTAGAAGACTCGTACTTTGCAAAAATGGGCAAGCCAAGTTGGAGAGAGCTCCTACATTACCTGATGGAGATTCTTTGCTTATCCTAACTTCAGGTTCCTCTATAGTAATGCATTTAACGTCTTGTGGATATTCTGGCTACAGCTGACCACTCGAAGTTCTTTTCTAAAAGTCTGGTTGTCCACAAACTACTTCATCATGGAGAAAATTAAAATTCAATAACTTTGTTTTGACGAAACTAGCATTCAATTTCATGCTTTATTTCGTTTTGTACTGAAATAGACAATTAATTAATTAATAGATTAATTGTGATTCCTAGCTAAAAATACTAAAAAAATCCTCAAATGTCTGCATTTGTCTTCTATTCTCCTCCCACCCCCCACCCACATGTGTGAATATTTATGAATTGGTTGATGAGATTACAACACACTTCAAACGAATCCTAAAAAGACTTCGATTTCATTATTTCAGATAATCATATTTACCGTCACAACTTTTAAATAGTTAGTCAATTAGAAGGCACCATATGATCATGTCAAGTGGCTTAAATAGGATATACTTTGATGCTGACGCCTAATTGTTTAATCAAATTAAGAAGCGTAGTGCGTATGGGCTATATTTGGCCACACGCCCTCTAACCGATTATATAAAACGTTGACAGGAAATGATCAATAAAGTCAAAATCGTTATGGCCACTAAAATTGAACCGTCTTGAAAGAAAATAAGCAAATTTAATCGGCCCTACGATAACTGAATGAAAGTCTATTTTAAAACAAAAACGTGAATATCATGTAAAAACAGTCGGGCTAAATAAGTCTATTTACGTAGCTATAAATTCGAAGTTGAACAAGTGGCCATTAGCTTTTAAGCAAACAATTACTTCACAGATAGGACAAAAATGTTTAGGAGTATTTATATTTAAACACGAGGGATATCACTAAAATGCTTTAGCCGATACGAATCTCAGCAATCATTTACACAAGATTCAACTCATTTGAAAACTCTTTTGCATAAAACAACTTAATAAATACTATACTAATCAGTGTTCTAAGTTCACGCATAAATGAATATCTATACATATCCCTACCCAAAAACCCAATCAGCCAACTATCTAATCCAAAAGTACACTACAAAACACTGGTCATTAATACCATTAAATTGAATTAAAGGTTTACGGAAAAGTAAGATATAGAAATGTATATATATATATACATATATGTAAATAAAAATAAATAAAGAACAAAATGAGCAATATTTTATATAAAACGTAGAAATCTTTTTCGAAATTTTAACTCAATTATACAAACTCAATTTAAAATATGACACTATTGAATTTTCGATTATGATGTTTAAATCGATAGATTATTGTCTAATTTTAGCAATTGACTCGGCGGATCACTCACAGTTGCTAATCTGTAATGGCTTTGGGCAGACGTTCTGCAGTAAGTATTTTGTTTTGTAATTAGTAAATGGTATTTACGGGTTTGATCAAAAAATCTTTTGTTTATTATATAAATTTCAAATTAATTTAATGTGTATCACGTTTTATTAATTTTGACTTATATTCACTACTTTTACAGATACGACTTCCTCCAGAAGTTAATCGTATCTTGCTCGTTAAAAACTTACCATACAACATATCGGCCGAGGAAATGTATGATCTCTTCGGAAAGTATGGAGCTATTCGTCAAATCACAGTAGGTAATACCCCAGAAACCAGGGGAACCGCGTTGGTAGTATACGAAGATATCTTCGATGCCAAAAATGCCTGCGATCATCTCAGTGGCTTTAACGTTTGTAATCGATACCTGATTGTCCTTTATTATCAACACAATAAGGTTAGTTCTTGCAATTTTTATGGTCTCATTCACAACTTTTCATGTGTTTGAATAGATTGCATTTAAATTTTGCGGTTTAGAATCGTTGGAATTTTAGAAACCCTTGCTTTCTAAGTTTTCATGCCTCATTGCGTGTGCAATTTTTGTGTTGGCATCGGTTCTGAATTAGTTCTATTTCTGACTTCGAGTAACAATATGTTTTATCTAGTGAGTGCTGTATCTTTACATCAAGGACTTCCACTTTCCCCAATTTCATAGTCGATGCGATTATCCATCAGGATTCTTGTCTTTTTATACCTATTGCTAGATTAGTTACTTCTTCCAATTCAGTGATTAGAATCCTCAACGTAAATTGCCGTAATCGCAGTGCTTCTGTTCTCTGAAGTTTTTAAGCATACTTTGCATCCATTGTTTTGACCTATGGACTTGTCGATAATGTTGTTTAATTAGGGCGAAGTATTTAGGTGTTATTGTGGGATCCTAAAGATTACGTTTCATGCATTTCTAAGCTTTTAATTCGAGCTTTTCTGTTGCTTAAGTTTCTTATTACATTTAAATTGAGTTAGAGAGCGATGTAATTTATGCCCACTTTGAGGTATTTGAAGGTACTCTGAGGACTTGATGACTGGCAAAATTTACATCCGCTTTCTAAGCAAAAGGTTGTTCCTTCAATTACGGCTTAGTTATTTAGACTTGTTTTTATTAACCCTAGGTCAGGATACATATCGTTGCTACTATTAATTTGTAATTATCTTATAGTTCTAAAATTTTAATTCTTGATGCCTATGTTACCCAACTTCCTGCTTTGTCCAGTTCTTTGAAAGTTGACTTCTTGAAGAGAACTTAGGCATACAAACCCGCTTTAAATTCCAATTACACAATTCTTTATTGATTTTTTCTTAGATTATTTTGCATTTATTCATTGCTAATTTTCTCATCTGGCTTATTGTATTCATGAAAGTCGTAGAAGTTGTGTGCAGGTAATAGTTAAATTGATGGCATGTTTAAACTATCTCTAAGCATATAAACTAAAGTATTTTCTTGGCGGTCAGTGTCAAGTCTGCTTATAATTCTGGTTTCTAGTCGTAAAAGTCTTGTGTCAGAGGCTGTCTGACTTGCCAATGAAAGTATCTTGGCTTCCACGCATGCTGATTTTTTGGTCATCTGTCAAAGTCTGTGTTATAAACACGTGTGTGGTTTCTTCTATTATTTTGTTGGCTTACTAATTCATTTTTCTCTTGCAGCAATTCAAGAAACCGGACACGGTTAAGAAACGTGGGACACTGGACAATCTCAAGGCTAAGTACGGTTTGAGTACTCCGAGGTCGCGGTGATCGATACTTTTGTTCTCATTGTTTTACACTTGTACATAACTGAGCTTTGTTTATATTGAATGAATTGATGTGATTATATAAGAATTTGTCCTTCTTTTTCATTCTGTTGTGTGGTCCTATTTACTGTGTTTGGAATTATGGGGAAATGGAGGTGAAAGAAATTGGATGTATTCGCCTACACAGGTTAACGAAAACATTTGAAAAAGCTTTTATTTTTAAGAAAAAGATTTCATTATATGCTCCAATTCGCAGTCAGGGTCAAATAAGTGGCTATTAGCTTCCAAGCAAACAATTACCTCACAGATAGGACAAAAGTGTTAAGGAGTATTTATATTTAAACACGAGGGATATCACTAAAATGCTTTAGCCGATACGAATCTCAGCAATCATTTACACAAGATTCAACTCATTTGAAAACTCTTTTGTATAAGACAACTTAATAAATACTATATTTGTCAGTGTCTTAAGTCCACACATAAATGAATATCTATACATATCCATATTCAAAAATTAGATCAGCCAACTATCTAATCCAAAAGCACACTACAAAACACTAGTCATTATTGCCATTAGAGAGAAATATTATTTTCCTCACATCGATAAGTCAAATAAGATATAATTTGAGACAATCAATGCCAACTATCCTGGAGATCAGTGGTACTTGAGACAATCAATGTCAACTATCCTGGTCATCAGCTCCAAGTCTTCACGACAATCAATGCCAACTATCCTGGAGATCAGTGGCTCCATGTCTTCACTGATGGGTCATACATAGAAAACCAAGCAAACATTGGTGTAGGTGTCTTTTCTGAGCTCGTCTCTTTCTACGCAGCAGTGGGACACAATAGATCCGCTTTCGAAGGAGAAATAGAGGCCATTAGGATAGCACTAGGCCACTTATGTTGCCTGGATACGAAATTCACCAAAGCGGTGATACTTTCGCACTCACAGTCAGCAATAAACTCAATTGGAAACAGAGAGTCACCCAAAACAGCCGAGATAAAGGAATGTAGAAAACTCTATGAGCTGCTGAGAGAGAAAAACAAAACAGTGGTCCTACAATGGATTCCTGGTCACTGTGGCATTAAAGGCAATGAACTTGCTGACACACTTGCTAAGAAGGGGACAACGATTTTGCAATGCATGGACCGGCCAATGTCTTTCCACACAATGAAGGCCTTAATCAGAAGAGAATTCAAGACCTCAAGTTGCAACGAACTTAAAGCTCGAACAAAGGAGAAACAGTGGGCAGTGGCACTCTCCGTTATAGCCGACTGGCTAAGAATGGAAGCCGTTGCTGAGTTTATACTACGTACTGGACACGATTGCTTGGCAAAACACCTTCACAGATTGGGTGTATACACTCAACCCACATGCCCTCTATGTAACCTACGGGAGGAAATGGAGAAGACCCACCTGATTCGATGTCCAGTCCTAAAGACAACGACGGAAAGCCAGAGATACTGGGAAGCAAGAAGACGGCTAATGAACTGCTATTAATTAACTGCTATAAATGTATCCCCCACCCTTGGGGGAAGCTGAAGTCAAAGTTTAAGGGCTAATGATAAATATCACAAAGCCTGCCATTTGAAATAATAATGATAATAATTATCATTAGACGTATCTTTAGTTGACTTGGGACTTCATAGAGGTGAGGTGCATCAACGTCACAAAAAGTCGGGAGGGGTGGGGTGTGGTGGTCGTTGCGGTGGTGGTGGTTGGGGGGGGGGAGGACAGGAAAGTGACTCACAGTTGGAAGAGACGGATACTAAGGTTTGGGTGAGAGGCAAGGTGAGTACTGCGAGAGTGGTCGAATATAACAAACAGTGGAGTCGTGGTAGTTTGGGGTGAGAAGTCAATTGCCAGTTTATGGATATTTCTGCCGAATGGGTATACGTTATCCAGAATGCACCACTTGGAGGTAAGTCTATCGCACACCCCACTATTCGAATTATTTGTCGAGGTTTTGTAGCACTTACATGGGGCCTTTTGTTGCCATTGCGGCTGAAAGTAGCTTAGTGACCTTATTTGACCGTTTTATGGTCTTAAAAGCTAATTACGTAAGTAAGCAATAATGATAACAATCAAAGGTCATGCACTTTACGAGCAGATGTCTGAATCTAGTTTATGTTAAGACAACTTTTTCTCAGCACGTTTTTGAACTTAAAAGCCTGTTTTATTGTTAAGGGTCAGCGAGAGTAATAGACATTGCATCCTGCTTTTCTTTCATTAAAACTGGAAGGCCTTCCAGGCTATTAAGCAATTTCTGCAATTTCTAGTCGGTTGCTAATAGGTATTAAAATTAGGATTGAATGTGGGTTAATTCATTTAAAATTACATTGGCCACTGCGCGAAACAGTTATGGCCGAAGTTTGTTGTCAGAAGTCTACCCCATTGAGAGGGAATAATTCTTCATCATGGAAATGACAAGATTCACTTCTCAAGAATTTAAAAATGCTTTCGGAGTCTGCACTTGTTCCCTCATATTGTACGTCAAATTGAATGCTGTTATTTTGCATCTTGGAGGTGGGGAGGTGGGGAGGTGGGGAGGGGAGGGGAGGTGTGCGATAGACTTACCTCCACGTGGTGCACCCTTGGCAACATATACTTATACGCAAAAAATTCAATTGATTGGCAGTTGACTTCTGACTTCAATTTACTATGACCCAACTATTTGTCATATTCGACCATTTCCACAGTTCTCATCTTACCTTTTTAATGCCTTTGTGCTTGTCCGTCTCCGTCTTTTACATCTGCGAATTACTCTTCTGTTCCCACTTCTCGACTTTTTGTCACTTTGATGTTCCTTCCCCTCTCTGTGAAACCACGAAGTCAGCTCCAGGGCTAATAATAACTATCAAAACGCCTGCCATTTGATATAAATAAATAAATAAATATTTTAACACGAGGGATGTGACTAAAATGCTTCACCCGATACGAATCTCAGCAAGTATTTACACATGATTAAACTCATATGTCAAAACTCTTTTGGATAAGACAAGTTAATAAATAATATACTAGTCAGTGTCCTAGGTTCACGCATAAATGAATATCTATACATATCAGTACTCAAAAATCCGATCAGCCAACTTTCTAAACCCAAAGCACACCATAAAACACTAGTCATTATTGCCATTAGATGGAAATATTATTTTATTCACATCGATAAGTCAATTAAGATATAATTATATATATATATATATATATATATATATATAAACATATATATAGAAAAATGAGCAATATTTTATCTAAAACGTAGAAATCTTTTTCGAAATTTAAACTCAATTATATGAACTCAATTAAAGTATGATACTATTGAATTGTTGATTAGGGTGTTTAAATCGATAAGTCATTGTTTTAATTTTAGCAATTTACTAGGCGGTTCACTCACAGTTGCTAATTTGTAATGGCTTTGGGTAGACGTTCTGCAGTAAGTATTTTGCTTTGTAAATGGTAAATGGTATTTACGGGATTGATTGTTAAACCTTTTGTTTATTATATAAATTTCAAATTAATTTAATGTGTATCACGTTTTATTATTTTGACTTATATTCACTACTTTTACAGATACGACTTCCTCCAGAAGTTAATCGTATCTTGCTCGTTAAAAACTTACCATACAACATATCGGCCGAGGAAATGTATGATCTCTTCGGAAAGTATGGAGCTATTCGTCAGATCAGAGTAGGTAATACCCCAGAAACCAGGGGAACCGCGTTGGTAGTTTACGAAGATATCTTCGATGCTAAAAATGCCTGCGATCATCTCAGTGGCTTTAACGTTTGTAATCGATACCTGATTGTCCTTTATTATCAACACAATAAGGTTAGTTCTTGCAATTTTTATGGTCTCATTCACAACTTTTCATGTGTTTGAATAGATTGCATTTAAATTTTGCGGTTTAGAATCGTTGGAATTTTAGAAACCCTTGCTTTCTAAGTTTTCATGCCTCATTGCGTGTGCAATTT